TTAGTGTCAATGACAACATTGTAATTAGGTCACTAATGAGAACAGTATTTAAAAATGATAAATCTCAATACAGCTTGTGTACGATCTTTTTGTGAATGTATATTATTATTACTATTGAACCATAATTCTAAGTACCCATAAATAAATAAATAAAAACTCAAGAATAGACTTCATTTTTTTTTTGGGGGGGGGGGGGGGCGATAATTGATTTTCCATGTTAATTTACACACGTCTCAATTAATTTCAAAATTCTAAAATTATTGCTTGAACAAATTATTTTTCATTATATAGAGTATCTTGAGCCAGTTTACGCGTATTAGATTAAGTCTCTACAATTCGAACAAGCCTTCCGAAATAGGACTTACGTCCTGTGGTCTGTGGTCTCAAAGTATGTATTTGTTGGTTAGGAGATTCGAACCTAAGACCTGAAAATGAGCAAATCTCCAAATCTAAGTCATCACCCACTAGACCAACCACACTATGGTTAACTGATTAACAAATCTCGACTAATCGGTAGGCTACATTTTTGTTCATTATGATAGTATGCTGATCATGATGGTTTGCCATAGGCCCTATGATATAGGATAAGGGAAATAATAAATAAATAAAAGTTGCAGAGAAAAGCAAAATTTCATATATAGAAAAAATTACCATATCAGAAAAGTTCTGTGCTCTTTCAAACCCAAACTACTGTAACTTGTTTGCCCAATTAAAGCTCAACTTCTTCACGTTCTCACAGGAGTGCATACCCATGAGGAAGCATTTGTACAATGAAAATTTCTGAGGTGTCTTTTATTTACTGTGTTAATAGTTATTACCCAAAAAGAACTGTGTTAATAGTCAGCCAATAATAATTTATGAAATTAATATAGAATTGATTATTCAATTAAATTACTGAGATAAATAATTGAAAAAGTCTAAATAACTAAAATTGGGTACCAGTTAATAGACCCATAAAATAAATGGAAGCTTGAGATTTAAATGGTGATGTATTGATTCTAACCATACATTCATAATTCTGAATATGCAGTGTGATTGTAAATAATTCTCTTTTATTCACATTTGTTTTGCAACAAATAATAAATAATTCCAGTTATATGTTTGTCTTGCATTATTAGTTGTTGGATTAAAAAATGAGCCAATATTGTTGGATAGAATGTCTATCAAAATCTAATTCAAATAACAAAAATTGTATTTACATAATAGAATGTAAGTTTCATAAATTAATAATTTCAATCCTATACTATAATTCATTTGATCAAATAAGCCTTAAGTATACAAAATTTGATTTTAATCGGATATAACCTTCTCTTATGAGTTTAACAACTATTGTAATATTCATCACGTAGGTTGCCTCTAGAGAGACTCGACGAGTTCTAGGAATTTTTTAGTGCCTACTATTCTAGCGGCAGGTTGCTTTAGAGAGTAATAAATAAGTTCTTTTTTTTTTTTTTATTACGAAAAAAAAACCATGTAAAAAATAAAAAAGTGATGTGATTCAAAAAAGTTAAAATGTCAATAAATTGACTTATAAGCCACTTTCTAAAAGAGGCCTAAGTAGGAAGTGATAAATTGATGAGTTGTGATATTTTAATTATTTTCTTATTATTCTAAAAAGTAATGTGAGAGGCGCACACTTTTAAACTTACAAATTCATCTATAGTAATGTGTCAATGGAGTTGGACATGTATAATAAATAAAAAATTAATACATATGATGTTACATCATTATAAATACAATTATAAATTTATTATTATTATTATTTTTTTTTTTTTTTGTGGATTTTAAATATTTTCCTATTCTACAGCTGAGATTTTCAATCATCTGAAATTTTGATTTTTTACAGCTGAGATTTAAGTGATAATTCATTTGTAGTAGGGTTTTGACCTTTGTGCAAGTCTTTGACTGGTGGTGGTGTAGAGAGAGAAGAGGAAGGAGGGGAGGTGCTCGGTGATGGAGGCACGTGCGTGGTGGTGGAGAATAAAAGGTGAAATTACAATTCAATACAATTTTTTAAATAATAAAGTTTAAAAATATTAATAATAATTAAAGTTATAAACTTTTTACAGGAATCATCAATTGTAATTTCTTCAAACAAAAAGATGAAATGATGGAAAGGAGCTCCACCTGGGTTCGAGTGTGACTTCCTTTTAACTACATCCATACACATGTCCACAAGTATATCAATAGACAACCCAGATCAGCTCGGGAGGGGGGACGCTGGTAATATTAATACAGTGCCCACACCACTCACACCATACACATCAGGTTTTTTAACTAATAGGGAGCTCTTGTACGGCTGATGTGAGTTTCCTGTTTACCTCTACAAAATGTCACGCCAACCCTCTTTCCGTTTCTATGCCAAGAATGTTTTCCCCCACAAGCCCATAAGGCCCTTACCTAAAAGAACAACTATTAGAACTCCTCCAATCCTTTCTCCAACTAGCTTGTCAGTCGTACTACATACTTATCGCAAAGTGACTCCATGAAGATGGAAACCCTCACCATCATGCCATGGTTTAATGCACAAATTAAGAAGATTCAAACCACCAACCCGAGATTTTTTGATCTCACTGGAACCAACGACAGAATCTATCATCCAAATATAGAAAAAACTTCACTCTCCAATAGCAAGTCGACAGTATATACAGAAATGGGGCGACTTCGTAGAATGGGGGGAATTTTCATCGAAAGAGAAAAGTCCTTCATAGGAGAGGAATTTTTAGTGGACCCACTAACTAATATGCAAATCAGATTCACATACATATAAAATTGATACGCAAGTCGTATTCAGTGATGGAAAGGAAAGAATAAAGAGTTAGAGATGAATTTTTAATTGACTTATTAATACTGCATTTGGTTGGGAGATTTGAATTGATATTTGAAAAGAAAAATGAAAAAGGTAAGTGAATTGTGAATAAAACATATTTATAATTCACCTAATTTCATACCCCTTTTTCTTTTTCCTTTCCAAATCGCTCATCAAATCTCCTAACCAAGCACAGCATAACTGATATGCAAGTCATATACACGTCCATATAAAATTGATATGCAAATCGTATTCACATACATATAAAAACACCCAACCCTGCTGACAAAT